GGAAGATGGGGATGGACTCGAACTGGAAACACGAGCTGTCAAGGCTGTTGGTGGAGCAGGAGTGACGCGTGCGAGCGACTCGCCGCGAAATATCAACTCGGAGTTGCGTCTAGCGCGCCCCGATAATCGCGAACTATCCAATAAGAATGCCGACCAAACCATCTGGAACGGCCCTGGCGTTGAATCAGAATTCGCCGATCTGGTCGTTCCCCCAGGGGAAGTTCCGAACTGAGTTATTGGGTTCCGTAAACCCAATAATGGCAGCACTTTTTTTATTGGAGAGCTGCGGGCTGCGTTGCGTAAGTCACGGTGAGTGCTGCGCCAGTTGTGACACGACGCGATGGTGAGACTCGACCAGTGCTTCAAGCTAAGATTGGGAAACCCAATAATGCAGCACTAGGCAAGGAGTCGTCGTGGGAAGATTGACTTTTCCGAGCAAAGGCGGAGACCATCCACGCATGCAGTGCAGGAAAGGAACTAAAGAAGCATCATGATGTGTTGGGGACGGATGACTACGTTTATGGTTCTGGTGCAGATCGGTTCAATGTACATTGTGTTCTGTGCTGTGAGGACGCGGTACATTGCGTCCGGTTTGACAATCATTTCGCGATCCTCGCACTGTATAAAGCGGGTTACCACACTGCTACAAAGCCCTCGAAAAGGGCAGGTACCAAGATTGTCTCACAAGATCACTTTCAAGACAATCGCGCCAAAATGGTTTTACATCGGTCGCCCAGTCGATATGCGCGCCAGAGTACCAAATCGCCCACCCCAAACAGTCACGAAATCTACAGAGCTTCGTGAATTCGCGAAGCGAAACCAAAAACATGAAAATGAATTGTTGGAATGTTTTTACGAAATAGTTGGTTGGTTGCCTTGTTTTGGCGGATTTTGTTGGCGAGACAAGTATTTGAAGGGCAGCAAAATGATATCAAGGATCGAAAACTGCACATCTGGTACCTGCTTTTAGCGGGTACAAAATCGAATACAAAGATCAGTTTTGAATGTCGGAATCGATTTCGGAAAGAATGTTGAAATCAGGAAAAAGACAAGCGATCTTGCAAAACGAATGCAATGTAATGCGTCCTGAGATGAAACGGTATCCAATACGAAAAGGAGATTTCATAGATTCTAGTGTGAAACAGGGGAGTCTATTGGGCTATTGGAGACCGTTGCTATGCAACGGATCCTCCTGCCTGCACATTGCTCAGGGGGTAGCAGCACTGGCGGGGTCCACAATTAATTGCACTAGTAGCTCTAACCAGGAGACAACACTACACTACACTTCGCATGTTACCCATTTCGTAGAATTAAAACATTTTAACTAGAAAGGTTTATTGTGCGAAACATACAAATGTTCAAGACATTTTAACTAGAAAGGTTTATTGTGCGAAACATACAAAGTACGTGTCGTCCTGCACCTACTGCCAGATCATGAAATCATCCCATCAGCGAGCAGCTAAACTACTAGAGCTGTTGGATCCGCCTGATCGACCTTGGCAACACATCATGATGGACTACGTGACAGGCCTGCCGTCCGGTCCCAGCAGAAACGACGCCATCCTCGTGGTCGTTGACCGACTCACGAAAATGGTGCACTTCATCACCTGCCAACAAACAATTACAGCTGAGCAAACTGCCCAACTGTTCATCACCAACGTCATCCAACTGCACGGACTGCCCATCGCCATTATTTCATAACGAGACCCGAAAGTCACATAGAATTTCTGGCGCCACCTGTGGGACCAATTCGGCACCAAACTCCAGCTTTCCTCCGCCTACGACCCACAGACCAACTGGCAGACCGAACGAGTCAACCAAACTATGGAGCAACTCATTTGGACTACCTGCACTAACCCACAGACAAGGGAGACATCCCTTCCGCTGCTGGAATTCGCGTACAATAACCCGCCCTCCGCCACAACCCATCAATCCCCATTTTTCCTCAATTACGGACTGGACCCTGTGGTACCCTCTACCCCGAACATCGAGACACCCATGCCCCGGTCCCAGAAATTTGCCGAAGACATCCTTGCCGCCCGAGAAAAAGCAGCTGAGGCCATCAGGAAAGCCAACCTAGTCGCAAGCCGACAAGCCGATCGTCATCGATGTGACGTCACTTACAGTGTGGGAGGTCTCGTACTTCTCGACACTCGCAATTTGCGTCTGCCGATCCCGAGCAAACTCCGCCCCAAATTCTGTGGGCCTTTTCAAGTAACCAATATGGTGACACCTGTCACTGCTCACCTCCGACTCCCGGCTGACTGGCGTCACCACCCTGCTTTCCATGTCAGCCTTCTACGGCCCTATGTTCCCAGTTCATCGGAGCTGGCCCGCCACTGCAGTGTACCGCAGCTGTCGCCCTTGCAGGAACCGACGACCGAGCCCTTGAAAATTCCATTCCTTACTGAGTCGTACGCTAGCGCGTACACCCGAACTCCTCGACTCGTTACGTTCGGCCTCGTTAATCGGCCCAACCCTTTCCCGAGTCGCGTCCGGCACTGTCGCCACATTGCCGAACCTACCCACGTTCCAAGGTTATCGCCCTAGAATGCCAACCCCTATATAACCTCGTGCCTTCATTGCAATAGCGACCTTGTATTCTCACGTTATACTTCATTGACATTTCCTATATCATAACACATTCCCACTCATAACAAGGGCTGTCTTCCTCGGTTACCACTGAGCTGCCCTGTAAGGAATTACCATTCCTTACTGCGTCAACCGCTACCGCGTACACCCGAACATCTCGACTCGTCACGTTCGGCCTTCATTTTCGGCCCAACCCTTTCCCGAGTCGCGTTCGACACTGTCGCCACATTGCCGAACCTACTCACGTCCCGAGGTTATCGCCCTAGTATATCTATTCCTATATAACCTCGTGCTTTCATTGCAATCTCGACTTTGTATTCTCACGTTATAGTACATTGACATCTTCTAAATCATAACAGCTGGTATCAGAGTTCGAGCTTTCCAGGAACCTTCCGTTTTCCCGTTTAATTAGTTAAGGGTGGTCAGAGGGGATTAACACGGCTGCACAGCAGTTGTCTTCGATCGTAAATATTTTTACGTCAACAACTACAGCGTGTGCGCTAGTTTCTGCCCCGTCCTGACCGCCATGGCTCCGGTAGACTCGACGGTTGAGGAATAGACAACCTCGACTGCCGCGAACTCTGCCAGGGAAACAGTAGACCTGCAAGCATTAATGGAGGAGTTGAACAATTTGACAAGAGTCGTCAACAACCTCCGCGACGAAAACCAACGACTTCGCCAGGCGCAGGAAAGGCGTCCAGAGGAGCCGGACGACGATGCATGAAGCGAGGTGGGTGAGCAGCAACCGACGCCAGTGGAGCTGGCACGGCTAGCGGCAATAGCCCCGCGCTCGACAAGTGGCGGCGTGAGATATCAGCAACCCGCTCCTTTCGACCTAGCTAATAAAGGCGTGACGGTTCGGCAGTGGATATTCGCCATGAATATCTATTTTAACGCGGCGGGCATCCGAGACGATCAGAAGCGGATCAGCCATGCATTGACACTGCTGCAAGGGGCTGCTCTACAGTGGTGGAAGGTCTTCGTCGACTCAGCGGCAACTCGCACGGAAGGACAGCATGAGTGGTCCGAAGAATTCGGCGATGAAGACGAGGCAGATTTGCTGTTTGGTGCAACTCATATTCGCACGTGGGCTACGTGGTGCGCAGAGCTTCGCAAGCGATTTGAGCATGCTCTTGATTCAGACAAAGCGCGCGAGACTTTACGCATGTGGAAGCAGCTGGGATCTGTGTCCGACTACACCGCGTCATTCTTGACGTTGGTGGATCGATGTGGCTACATGCACGAGTTGGAGAAGGTCGACAGGTACATGGGCAGGCTGAAGCCTGAAATACCGTACCAAATAAAATTACAACGACCTGCGAATCGGTTATAGAACTTCATCCAACTCGCCGAAGCCGCTGATTCGCTCACGAAGCCGAAGACGAACTTCTATGACGGAGGTCGCCCTCGAGAACAGTACCAGCGCGCCACGATAAAAGGGATGGACGCAGTGGATATTTACGCAGCTGCTCCGCTCAATACGGGGCTATGCTACCACTGTGGCCGACCGGGTCACATCAAACGCAACTGCCAAGAGCTCCTAGCCATCCAGAATTCTATGGGGAAGAAGCCGGAGGAGCAACCGGGAAATGGGTCGCGTCAGTAAGTACCGGGCCCCTTACTGACGAGCAGGCTTCTTCGCCCGAGCCACACAGTCCCCACCGGGTCGGGATCCCGATTGCTGCAATCGACCGGACCCGGACGAATAAGGGGGACGAAACTGCTGATCACCCTGTGTTGGTGGAGGGTAAAGTCAACGGGGTGTTGCTGAAAATATTTGTGGATGGAGGCGCGAGTCACAGTCTCATACAGTTGGACAAGGCTAAGAAAATGGGTATCCCCTTATTAAAGTGTCTACCCAAAATTGACGCACGACTGGTGGATGGAACACCGCTGGCAATACGAGAGCGGGTGGAGCACGTCAGTTTCCACTGCGGCGAGCACATAAAATTTCGGATGGGGCTGCTGGCAACCACACTCGACGGGTGCGACGTGCTGCTGGGACGGGATTGGCTGAGACAGTATTACCCGAGGATCGACTGGACAACAGGCAGCTGCAGCATCAAAATCGATGGGCACTATCGGGAGTTACCGAAATGGACGGGACCCCGCATGCGAAGTACTCAAGTCCACGCGATAACTTTCAAGTGCGCGATAAAGGTGGGAGCTGCAGCGTACGCCGTCGATCTCTGCGAAGTAACGACCCCGACAACAGCGGAAGATATCGCGAAGCTGTGTGAAGCCGTTCCTCCGGATTTAGCGGACCCGATTCGAAAATACCCCGAGATTTTCCCGTACGACCTACCCGCGGGACTTCCGCCAAGCCGACCCGAAGACCATCGCATCGAGCTGGAACCAGGCGCACAACCGACAGTACAGTGACAATTTCGGCTCAGCCAACCAAAACTTGAAGGATTGCAGCAGCAGTTAGATTACCTCCTGACAAAGGGTTTTATCCGACCCAGCACGTCCCCATACGCCGCCCCCATACTGTTCACGCCGAAAAAAGATGGCGGATTCCGCATGTGCATCGACTACCGCGCCCTCAACAGGATCACCGTCAAGTCGCGTTACCCGATCCCGCGAGCTGACGAACTACTCGACCAACTTCGCGGAGCCAAGTGCTTCTCGAAAATCGATTTGCGAAGAGGTTACCACCAAATTCGCGTCGCCGCCGACGACTGTCACAAAACCGCCTTCCGAACCCGCTACGGCAGTTACGAATACCTGGTGATGCCTTTTGGCCTCACGAACGTGCCTTCAACGTTCCAGATGACCATGAACGGCATTTTCAGGGAGCTCTTGGATAAATGTGTTATTATCTACCAAGACGACATCCTAATCTACTGTCACAGGATCGAATGTCCCGAGGAAAGGTTTGCTCAATGTTGCACTATCAATCAGTACAAGGGGCTTTTATACTTCCAGATTACATCAGGTAACCAGGTTTATCCTATCCAAAGGAAATAGACCCTTCTAGAAATAGAATCACCCTGCGTATAGCCACGCGAGGCTATTGGCTATAAGGGATTACTGCAGGATTACGCTAGATATAGCGCGCCAGTACATCCCGAGCCTGGTCGGTGATATAATTATAATAGCAGGATAAACCAAAGGATAATGGCAAAGGAGGAATAGGAAACCAAATGAGATGAGATAAAGACCAAATGAATCAGGATAAAAAGAGGAATGAAATAGATAGGAAATATGGAAAAGGGGAAATTGGTGTAACGGGGTCGTACTCTCACACTTCCCCCCCTCAAAGCTGGGTGGTAGAAGGAACACCCTGCTTGACAAGGTTGTCGCGAAGAGGACGACGGGCGTTACCCATGTCGAGTTCAGAGACGCAGCCTCAGAAGTATCATAACCCTTCCAGCAAAGAAGAAGCTCCAGAGTGCCAGTCTGACGATGACGGTGTCCAAGTACGTAGTTGTCCCATGTCGTGGATGAACACAGGCGACGACGGTGGTTGGCATTCGGTGTAGAGCGTGTTTGGTCTTGATAGGGTTTAAGAAGCTGGTATGGAAGGCGTTTATGGATCTTCCAAGTGGCTGGTAGGCGGAAGCGGAAGTTGACTGAAGTGACATTTGCTTCAAAGAGGATAGTCCCGCAGAAGCAAGGTTGAAGCTTGGATGGAAGTTGGCTGATGTCGAGATTATGGTCTTGAGAAGGGTAGTGATGAGTTGCCAAGTGCTTGTGCTGATGTTGGATGTCCAAGAGGTGCTTGTGTGGTCGATGTACAAGATGGTGGACGATGGCGATGAAATGGATTTGTCGGTTGTTGTGGTGTAAGCGGGTTGCAACTGTAGGTGGTACGCGGATGGAACAGTGTGCTGTAACGTGCAGATGAATGGCTATGTTGTCCGATCCGTGCATGCTGTTACCCGCATCTGGTCCACGTGTGAAGATCACCAAGTGGTGGTGGTATGGCAGTCGTGTCGTAGTACGGCTTCTGTAGCAGTGTTGTATCCGTTACATGCAGCTTCTGTCGAATGCTGGTCCATGCCTTGGTGTTGTCGCGAGTCGTACCCATTCGGCATCGTAGTGCTGCGGAATGGAGAGCAGAATCACTTGTAGTAATCCTGTCCACCACGCGGTCTGCTACTCACATTGCCTTGAGTACAACAGATGCGAAGTGCTGCTCAGCGTATCCCTTGTGTTCAGAACCATGCGAGGGGTTGGTACCATAAACGCGGAGCTGGTAACTTCCAGAATCGGCGCCAAGTAGTTTCCCTCGATGGTTGCTCAGGCAAGGAATCTCAGCTGCGTAGATATCCCATGGTGATGGGTTAGGATATCTGGGAACGTTACGGGTATTCCCAAGTAATCCTCTCCCATTTCCAAATGAGCATTAGTGACAGCCAATCCAGTATGACCTTATACGCTTCCAGTTTAGCACGGAGGCCATTGGTAGGCATGGGTGTCTGGGCGCACATATTGGGATAGGTCTTCTGGTGCCATCATGTGTTGTCTTATTCTGCCACTGTCCTTGAAGTAGCGATGATGTCGAAGACGTCTCAGCTACTCAGCATCAATGTTGAAGTTTGCTCCATTTCGGCAAACAGGGGTGTTGTTGGAGATACGCGGAGTCCACTATCCGGAGTGGCGTCGGCGCTCCATTCCACGCCTATCTGCTTCCGTGGAGTTGGTGCTGGTGATGGATTGGTTGCGACGCAGGTTTTATGACTTTAAGAAAAGCCATAGGCCATGAGGACTGTATATCGGTAGAGTACCGTGGTCCTCCCATCCCCATAAGAGCAAATATCTGATGCTCTTGAGCGTATATGGCATTGCCATATTGTTTCCTCGCATAGTGGTATCTCCTTCCCACTAGCTGGAAATCATAGTACTGTGCCTGGCCGGGACTTTACGATCCACTGGAATATAGTCCAGCATTATCTCCATTGAGCGGAGAATCATCCATCAGGATTTGGTTGTGACTGTTGTGTCGAGTCTTCTGCTGTGTCGGCGGCGGCGGTTGCGACTATGGCGACGGCGGCAGCTACTGCAGAGAATTCTCTCAACTCATACCGGTTGAAGGAGAATCCATCAACTCCCTCTTTCCAGTAGAGTGTTCCTGATGGGTGTAACAGGCGTAACTACCAGGAACACGTGCACATTAGTACACATGTGTTGCTCCATTGCTGCCGGTGATTGTTTCATTTGAGGGTATGAAGAGAAATTTGCTTCTCCCCTCAATGTATCCACGGGTAGCAATTCCTGGTATGCTCATCCGTGCCTCCGATGTACGGTCGATAGAGCGCGTGATCGTGTTGTAGTAGTCCGCATCTCCCTCATTTGTTGACACCTCGTGTTGCTTGGCGGTCTCCTGCATCGTCGAAGTTACGCTGGTGCTTGTAACGCTTCGGCTTCTGGTAGAATCGCCTCCAATGCATGTGCCGTAGGGTCGCTAGTGAACGAGTACTTGCCGGATTAGAGGTTAATTACTCCTCAATCTGTCAAGCATCGTGACGTGCACGGAATTTTCTTCCACGCAGGTCATTAACACCTGGAATCGCGACGCATGATTGGTGTGTCGCCGCGTGAGGTTGATGTTGAGACTGCTCCAATCAATCACTTCGGATGGCTGAGATTCTTGATGAAGACGAATCGTTCAGCTCCTGTTACGAAGCAGTGTCTCGCTGGCCTTGACGAGACGGGTTCACTGCGTCGTCGTTGCGTGCGAAATCTGCTCCTTCGCAGCAACTTGATATCCAGAATATTGCAAGAGAAAACGGCTACTTCTCTGCAATCCCATAGCTTGTCGATCCAATTTATGAGATAAAGTATCTCATGGATGGAGAACATGTCTTCACGCAGCTCCATTGTTTTTCCTGGGTGAAGATCCGGTGTGTTGATGTCGATCCATTTTTAACGAAGATGACTTCGTCAAAATAACTCGATCGTTGTCGACATCAGTCAGAAGATGCGTCGATTGTGCAGTCACTGGTCACGAATGTTGTCTCCATGATGAAGATTTTCCATAGTGTAGACTCTGCTGCATTCGTGCCGTTGATTCCGCACCGATCCGACGATCCACGTTCTCGTGTCAATTTTCTGCTTGCAGCTATTACCAAGTAGGTAATACTCTGGCAGATTTCTGACTCTGCAGATGATTTGCGCGCCATAGTCGTCACCAAATGAAGGATCTCGATTTGGCTGGCCCAGGTGATGACAGCGGTGTCGAAAGCGGCTGATTTCTGGTTCTGCGCGTCAATCTCCCTTTGTGCAGAAGTCGCGCTCCATCTCGTCCGTTGCAGCAGAAGTCGATCCGACGGTCCAAACTCCAAGCGATCTGAGGAGCCTCTTGAGTCGCGTTCAGCAGCTTTCGGTGCACGGGTTGGTTCGTTTCCTGCAGCAATTCTCAGTCGTCGATGTCGGCTGTCGAACGATCGGACGTCCCGAAGAACTTCGCGGCTTGCGAGGTCCCGTTCCCATTCGCGCTGAAACTCGAACTCTCTCAGCAGGATTTCGTTTTCGCCTCGGTTGATCTGAAGCGTCGAATCCCCATCGGACGGATGTCGTCGGTCGAACCTCCGCAGAGTTCCGCGCAACTCCAAGTGTTGTCGCGAACTGCGAACTTCTCCGAATGTTGCAGGGAGTGTTCCGCCGGAACTGACGCGCTCGCCAGGTCGAGGCCGTTTGCCCCCGCGAAAAATCGGCACCGTCGATGCAGTCCATCGAACGGTTGGCGAGGCATCTCGCCTTCGAAGGGGACCCCAGGTGCAACTGCGAGAGGAACGTCGAAACTTAATGAAAGTGCATTGTACTTACAGGATTTGAAGTTTCGACTCCATCCTCCGTGTGCTCCTGGGGGCCCAGCGATTAAGCGTTGAGCTGAAACCTTGGCTCTGATTACCAAGTGTCACAGGATCGAATGTCCCGAGGAAAGGTTTGCTCAATGTTGCACTATCAATCAGTACAAGGGACTTTTATACTTCCAGATTACATCAGGTAACCAGGTTTATCCTATCCAAAGGAAATAGACCCTTCTAGAAATAGAATCACCCTGCGTATAGCCACGCGAGGCTATTGGCTATAAGGGATTACTGCAGGATTACGCTAGATATAGCGCGCCAGTACATCCCGAGCCTGGTCGGTGATATAATTATAATAGCAGGATAAACCAAAGGATAATGGCAAAGGAGGAATAGGAAACCAAATGAGATGAGATAAAGACCAAATGAATCAGGATAAAAAGAGGAATGAAATAGATAGGAAATATGGAAAAGGGGAAATTGGTGTAACGGGGTCGTACTCTCACGCCTTCCGAACCCGCTACGGCAGTTACGAATACCTGGTGATGCCTTTTGGCCTCACGAACGTGCCTTCAACGTTCCAGATGACCATGAAGGGCATTTTCAGGGAGCTCTTGGATAAATGTGTTATTATCTACCATGACGACATCCTAATCTACAGCCACAGCCGGGAGTAGCACTTACGCGATCTTGATGCAGTCTTCACGCAGCTGCACAAGAATCGCCTCATCACGAAAGGGTCTAAGTGCGACTTTCTTAAGCAGGAGTTGGAGTTTTTGGGCCACGTCGTTTCTACTGAAGGAGTGAAAATCGACCCCAAGAAAATCAAGACCATACAGGAATGGAAGCCACCGACCAACCTCAAAGAACTACAGAGTTTTCTGGGTTTCGTCAACTACGTCCGCCGTTTTATCCCAAATATGGCTGGGTTATCGGCCCCGCTAACCGACTGACTGAAGGATCACGATTGTTTTTGGTGGGGAGAGAAGCAGCAAGCTACATTCGACCAACTCAAAATTGCCCTCACGTCGCCGCCCGTTCTTCGCATCTCCGATCCCGACTGTCCATACGAAGTCGTCACCGACGCCAGCGACATCGCCATCGGTGCAGTTCTCCTACAGGATTTCGGCGACGGGTTACAGCCAGTCACTTACGAATCACGGAAGCTGTAGGACATAGAGAAGAACTATGCAGTGCACGATAAAGAAATGTTGGCGATCGTCCACGCGTTCAAAACCTGGCGGTGCTATCTGACAGGCGCTGACGTCACAGTGCGAACTGACCACAAGTCCTTACAATACCTGCGCGCCCAACCGAATCTCAACCCGCGACAGATCCGATGGCTCAATTTCCTCGAGTCGAATTTCCATTACACCATCACCTACAAACGAGGGGCAAATAATAGTGCCGATGCCCTGACTCGCCCCACTGCCCAAACTGCCGCTATACTAGTCGTCCAGACAAACCCATTACTTATGGGACTATTCACCCACGGCTACAAGACCGATCCCTTTTTCCGCTCCGCTATCCACCAACAGCATACCACCGCCACCGGACCTTATTTTAATAAGTGCGGTACTTCTCGCCTCTGGGTGCCCGGCTACGATTTACTTCGTACCCTCATAATCCAGGAATCCCACGACAACCCTACCTCCGGGCATTTCGGCGTCGACAAAACCTTGAAGATGGTGCAGATGAATTATTACTGGCCGAACATGGCCGATGACGTACGCAAGTACGTGTCCTCCTGCACTGCCTGCCAGATTATGAAATCGTCGCATCAGCGAGCAGCCGGACTACTACTGCCGTTGGATCCGCCTGAGCGGCCCTGTCAATACGTCACGATGGACTACGTGACAGGACTGCCGGCCGGTCCTAGCGGAAACGACGCCATCCTCGTGGTCGTCGACCGACTCACGAAAATGGCGCACTTCATCGCCTGCCAACAGACAATCACAGCCGAACAAACAGCGCAACGGTTCCTCGCGAACGTCATCCGACTGCACGGACTGCCCTCCGCCATCATTTCAGATCGAGACCCGAAATTCACATCGAATTTCTGGCGCCACCTGTGGGACCAGTTCGGCACCAAACTCCAATTTTCCTCCGCCTACCACCCACAGACCGACGGGCAGACCGAACGCGTCAACCTGACCATGGAGCAACTCCTTCGAACTACCTGTACTGACCCATCGACATAAGAGAAATCCCTCCCGCTGCTGGAGTTCGGGTATAACAACGCATCCTCCGCCACAACCCATCAGTCCCCGTTTTTCCTCAATTACGGACAGGACCCCATTTTACCATCTACCCCGAACATCGAGACACCCGTACCCCTGTCCCGGAAATTTGTTGAAGACATTCTCGCCGCCCGCGAAAAGGCCGCTGAGGCAATCAGGAAAGCCAATCTGGTCGCAAGCCGACTAGTTGATAGACATCGACGTGACGTCACTTACAAAGTGGGAGATCTCGTCCTCCTCGACACTCGCAATTTGCGGCTGCCGATCCCGAGCAAACTCCGACCCAGATTTTGCGGACCTTTTCTAGTAACCAACCTGGTGACACCTGTCACTATTCACCTTCGATTACCGGCTGATTGGCGCCACCACCCGGTCTCCCACGTCAGTCTTCTCCGACCCTACGTCCCGAGTTCGTCGGCCTTGGCACGCAACCGCGGTGTACCACAGCTAACACCTTTGCAGGAACCGACGACCGAGCCTTTGAAAATTCTGGGACATCGCGTCACAACGCAGCTGAACCGTCACATGGTTGACTTCCTCGACCGCTGGCGCGATCGCACGTCTGAAGACGACAGCTGGGTGCCCCTCGCTGACATAGAATCACATCCGATTCTAACGGCATATTATCAGCGTCGGAATGTCTCCGATGCCCACGACCTCGTTTAGGAGGGGGGGGGGGGTAGTAAAATGAATTACCATTCCTTACGGCATCGACCGCTACCGCGTATACTCGAACATCTCGACTCGTCACGTTCGGCCTTCATTTTCGGCCCAACCCTTTCCCAAGTCGCGTCCGACACTGTCGCCATATTGCCGAACCTACTCACGTCCCGAGGTTATCGCCCTAGTACGTCTATTCCTATATAACCTCATGCTTTCATTGCAATAGCGACTTTGTATTCTCACGTTATAGTACATTGACATCTTCTAAATCATAACATGCCCAAGTGCTTTGTCCTCGTTTTTGGGAGCTGTTTTCTCGAGCTGATACCGCGAGATCACATTCTGTATTCTTGCGATCGGGACGACGCGTCGCAACTGGTTTGGATCCCGTGATTCCTGATTCCGTCGTGCCTACCGAACAACGCCTGTCTTGCCGCTCACGCTTCCCCCCACATTTAGCAGATCCTTAGCGATTGCAGCAGACTACCTTTCAGCAGCACAACGTAGCAAACGCGTCTGGTTAGTATGCTCACCTCGTTGGCGTCGTCTAATCGTATTTTTAGCGTATGCTATGGACTTGACGGCTTCTGTTTTTGAAGCAACTAACCTTTAGAGCCAGGGACCCAAGTTTACCAAGTGTAAAACACGTTGTACTGAGAGTAGACCCACGTAGGTGCACTCTTCACATCGAGCACTGCGTGCAGTGAGAACCATTCAATGCAAATGAATCGTACGGCGGAAGCCGGTCACGATGAGATCTGGCCACGTGTCATTTGCAAGACATGCAAGAAGCTTCGTCGAATCCCTCCTGAGGAATTCTTAAAACTCGCAGACACGGGTAAAGAACCCGACTGGTCCTGCCACCTGGCAGAGCCCTATAGGCCGGGAGCCAGGTGCCTGGATCCGGAGGAGAAGAAGACGGAGGCGGAAAAGGCTAAGCCGTTCGAACCCGACGGATTCTGGTGGATGTCGAAATTTCGAGGGGATATTTACTACATAACCCCCGAAAAGAAGAAACTGTATTCTCCTAGCCAGCTAAAAGCGTACTTAGAGGAGTACAACCGGAATCGTCGGAATCCTCTCACTCTGGAGGACTTCTGCATCAGTAAGCCTAAGTGGAGGGAGGTGCACGGATGCGCGGATGGGGGAGTGAAACGTCCTGGTGCGGCAGGTGTCAGATTCATGTCCGCTGGGGGAAAAGCGGCGTCTGCTGTCGCTCCCGCTTCTGCTGCTACTGCTGCTGCTGCTCGGGCGATTAGTCCTGTTGGTGCTGCTGGTGCTCGGTCGATTAGTCCTGCTGCTGTTGCTGGTGGCGGCAGCGGTGGGTTGTCCTCCAAGCACGAGCTTGTGAGGATCGGCGCATCCTCGGTGGCGGCCAACGCTGTGCCGCTGGGTCGCTCGGGCTCGTACAAGGCCGTACCTCTGGCGATCCCTGCAGGCAGCAAGGGGGGTGTGGGCGCAGTAGGGGGGGAGAGGGGCAAGGAAGGGGGGGAGAGGAGCAAAGGAGGAGGGGAAAGAGGCAAAGAAGGGGGAGCAGGAGCGGGGGTGGCAAAAGGAGGAGGAGGCGGCGCTGGAATTGCAGGCGCAGCAGGTGCTGGGGCTGGAGTGAGGAAAGAAGGGGGACTGGACCTGACAGGCAGGGGAAGTGAGAAGAAGGGAGAGGGGGTCAGGATGGGCGCTGGAGGAAGGGGGGGGGTAGCTGAAGGTTTAGAAAGAAGCTGTGAGCGGGTGGGCAATGAAAGAGTGGGTGGTGAGAGGGTTGGTGCTGGTGGTGGTGGTGGTGGTGCTGCTGCTAGTGGTAGTAGTCATCATAGTGTTTCTGGTAACCGCAGTGCATCTGGTAACAGTAACCCTGTTGTTGACGACGACGACGATGATGCAGCAGTGCGTGTCCCTGATGCGGTTACTGATTTCCGGCTAGAAACCTACACCGAGGAGCCTTTTCCTCTCTACAGGCTGCCTTTTTATAAGTCGGGGAAGCTTGCACTGCTCAAGGAGAAGGTATATTTGCGTGGGAAGGATGCGAATGGCGGGGCGACTGTGTTTGTGGATGTAATGGCTTGGCGGGTAGTGGTGAAGGTGGATGTGGTGAAGGTGCAGCTGCAGGCTCGGCAAGGCAAGAAATGGATTGAAGTGCAGAAGCCGAGCCTGGGTTACACGTCTGGGAAGTTAGGTTCGGAGTTTGGCTGGGCACAGTGCTGCATGCGGTTCCATCCTAATTGGTCAGAAGGTGAGGTGAAGCAGTTTTTGCGGTCACATAATGTTGATGTGGAGCGTCTTGTAAGGAGGGTGGATTTGCTCGAAGATTTTATTCAGGGTGATTTGGATTTTAAGCGATCTAGTCTGTGGAGGTTTCTTGAGAGGGAGAGGCGGGGGGGGGGTGAGCTAGAGCGAGGAGTGGTGAGAGAGAGGGAGAGAGAGAAAGAGAGGACGAAGGGCGGTGAGGCAGAGAAACGGTGGAGGGACAAGGAGAGAGAAATAGGGAGGGGGAGGGAGAAGGAAGATATTAGAAGTGAGGGAGGAAGTGAGCGAGGTAGAGACAGGGCTCAGGTGCGTGATAAGATTCTCGAGGATCTGGGGTATCCAGTCAGGAGGACAGGATTGGGAAAAACAGGCACGTTGAGAAAAAAGGTCCGAGTGGCTAGATTTGAAGAGCTCGAGGAGGAAGAGGAGGAGGAGTTGGACCGGAAGTTCATTGTTTCGGATGACGAGGATGGGATGGATATGGGTGGAAGAGGAGTAAGGGGAGGAGGAAGGGGGGGAAGAAGGGGAGGAGGAGGGACAGGAGGAGAGCGGAGGGACAAACTGTGGGGGGAAGGAGCAGAGGAAGCGGATGACGAGGGCTTGTACGAGGCGGAGGAGGGGGAGGAGGAGGATGCACAAGTAGCAGGGTGGGACAGCGTGTGCTACATCTGCGACGACGGCGGCGACCTGGTGTGCTGCGACGGGCCGTGCATGCGGTCGTTCCACGTGGAGCCGGACGACGAGGAGGAGAAGAAAAGGGACAAGTTTCACTGCCCCACCATCGGGCTCACGGATGGCGAGGTGCATGAGAAGGAGACCTGGCTGTGCCCGAATTGTGAGGCCAAGCAGCACGTGTGCTTCATCTGCCACCAGCTGGGCTCCTCGGAGCCAAATTCGGAGCCGAATTCGGATCCAGACTCAACAGCAGCAGGTGGGAGCGAGGGGAAGCAGCAGGAGGTGTTCATGTGTGACGTGGCGCTCTGTGGGCACTTCTACCACCCGACATGTGTCGCGTCGTGGCTGGCCGATGCAAAGAAGCTGCCCCCAGGCAGCGAGGAGCGAATCCAGGAGCTGGAAACCGTCGCTGAGGGCATCCGGGCAGGCTCGGGAATGTTCTTCTGCCCGCTGCACAAGTGTGCCAAGTGCCACACGGAGGAAAAGGACCGAGATGCGTTAAAACTCGTGCCGTGCCGCCGCTGCCCAAAATCCTACCACGTAAAATGCCTCCCGCCAGATTTGAGCCTAGATGGGAGTGACCCTAGCAACCCGCAGAGGGTTTGGGGTGTAGGGGATGGTTTTGCCGAGAGCCTCATGTACTGCACCCGGCATTCCCTGGACCCTTTTCTTGGCACCGCTGCCCGCGGGCACCATAAATTTCCGGATGTGAGGAGGACGAGGGGAGTGAAAAAGACGGGGTGGTTTGCGGATTTGGAGGAGGGGGAGGAGGAAGAGGGGAGGGTTGGTAGGAGGGTGAAGAAGAGGAGAATGATTGTGGATGAAGAGGGGGAGGAGGAAGAGGAGGAGGGGGAGGAGGAAGAAGGGATGGAGGTAGAAGGATTGGGGATTGGAAGCAAAGCTGGTTTGGGTGAGCAGGCAGTGGCCGGTGCAGCTGCATCTGCCAGAGCAGCAGCATCGGAAGCTGCTGCTGCAGGAGCGGCAGACCTGTTAGAGCCACATAGGGCGATGGGCTCAGCCGAGAAGGCAGGAACTGCAGCGGCAACAGCAGCAGTAGGAGGAGGAGCAGCAGGAGCAGCAGCAGCAGGAGGAGCAGGAAGAGAAGTAGCAGGCGCGAAGGGGAGGGGGAGGAAGAGGGCGTTGATGGAGAGGGAGAGGGAGGAGAGGGATGCGGCGCTGAGGGCGATGGAGAGCATCGGAGGGATTCAGAGCAGGAAGGGCGGGGTCACGCACAAGGAGATGGCCCAGACGTGGACCAAAGGTACGTGGCTTGCTCGGGAATGGGGCAGGGATCGAGAGAGGAAGAGGGAGGGCGAGAGGGAGGGGGAGAGGGAGGGGGAAGGGAAGAGGGAGGGAGGGGGGGAGTGGGGGAGGGAGATGGAAGAGAGGGATGCGGCGCTGAGGGCGATGGAGAGCATCGGAGGGATTCGGAGCAGAAAGGGCGGGGTCAGCCACAAGGAGATGGCCCAGACCTGGACTCCAGGTTAAATGCCTGGGAGGAAGAAAGCGATTTATGGGAGAGTGGCACTTGTTGTCATGAGGCACCCGGGTTTTTTCTAGCACATATGCCAAATTTCACTTAATTGCTTGTGTGCTCACAGGGAAGGAAGGCCCTGTGCTACACAACAATTGCTACATGTTCCAATGCGCCTGCTACCGGGATGTGGCCACTTTGCGCCTCAAAATTGCGAGTCATGTATTCTTGAATATATTAACACTATCCCAAGCACCACCCCACACTATTTGAGACTCTACCCCGCACACCATTCCCTCCCCCCTCCGCCCCGCCTTTTCCCCCCCTCCCTCCATCCCAAAACATTTACCATCCACTCACTGCAGGGAAAGCCCCGCGGCACATGTTCCAGTACCCCTGCGACCTCGACGCTTCCCGGTCTCGCCTGAGCAGCATATTCGCCAGTGCAGCCAAGGAGGTCACAGAGCAGACAGTCAAGGCCGCCCTTGCTGTCCCCCGCATGTACCAGCACAGCCACAACATGACCTCCAACGGCGACACGGGCGGCGGTACGGGCGGCAACAACAACAACCAGGGCGGCAACCCCCGGAAGATCCCGCTGAGCAAGCTCGAGTCGATCCTGCACGCAGGGGAGAAGGCGCGGAATTTCTTGGCAAAGGAGGTGGAGCAAGCAGGCGTTGTGTCTGAGGAGGCTCAGCAGCAGGCGCAGCGGCTCTGCCCCCCCCTGCAGCTGCAGCAGCTGGGGGGAATCGGCGAGGCTCTGCGGGTATACCTCTCGCCGTATGTTCACGGGCAGCGGTACACGTCGTATGGGCGGCATTTCACGCTGCCCGAGAAGCTAAACGAGGTAGTGGAGAGGCTGGCGCCTTATATGGAGGATGGGGATGTGCTGGTGGATTTCTGCTGCGGGGCGAACCATTTCTCGCTGATTGCGAGGCACCGCCTGGAGGAGGCACGGAAGCGGTGTGGGTTTGCCAACTTTGACATCTTGCGGCCGCCGAACGAGTTCTGCTTCTCCAAGCGCGACTGGTTCTCCGTGCCGGTATGTCACGTGTTAGTGGGGTATGTGCTGATGGGGAAGCATGGCAAAATACGGGATGGATGGCGTGGTGGGGGACGGGGCGAACCTGTTCTCGCTGATTGTGAAGCCAACATTGACATCACGCGGCCGCCCAATGAGTTCTGCCTCTCGAAAGGAGACTGGTTCTCGGTGCCAGTGGGTGTTGATTTGATGGGTTGGATGCCGGTGGGTGTGGATGGGTTGGGTGCCGGTGGGTGTTGATGGGTTGGGTGCTGGTGGTTGTTGATGGGTTGGGTGCCGGTGGGTGTTGATGGGTTGGGTGCCGGTGGGTGTGGATGGGTTGGGTGCCGGGGGGTGTGGATGGGCTGGGTGCTGGTGGGGTGTCTTCTGGGGCGTGTGGTTGTTTTGGTGTGCTCACTTCGACATCATGCGTTGCGCAACGCATCTGTCACCAAACGAGCTCTACTTTTGAGATGAGATCGGTTTTCCGTGCTGGTGGGTGCTGATGGGGATGTGTGGCGTGGTAAGGATGCATCGTTTGGGGGGATGCATCGTTTGCGTGGCATATTGGATAGAGTGCATAATACCTACTGGCAGGTTTCTCCAAGTGCGACTGGTTGGCCATGCCTATAAATGTGGTTGAACATGTGCTGGTGGTGGTGCTTGTGCTGAGGGTGGTGCATGTGCTGGCAGAGATGGATTGTACGGTGAGGATGCACGACTAGATTGGATGGATGTATGCTTCTGTCTTCCCAAGCACGACTGATTTTCCCTGGTGCCAGCCTGTCATGTGATTAAGTGTTCGATGTATTATTTCTCGGGTATACATCGAAGTTCGATGATCGAACCTTCAAGCGCGACGGATGATTTCTTGGGTCTCAGCCTTCTTTCTAAAACACTGACGAGAGCCTTCCAAGTGAGGCCGGCGTTCTGTTTGTGCCGCTAGATGCTGATTGGCAAGCATGGCATGGTGGGGATGCTGAGTGGCAAGCATGGCATGGTGGGGATGCTGATTGGCAAGCATGGCTTGAATGGTGTGTCGTTAGACTGCATGGATCAATGGCCTGATTGGATGGGTGCATGTTGTTGGCGGGGCTCAGCTGACGGCACCTTCACAGGAGCCACTCTGCTTACCTACTTGAATTGACAGCTTTCTCCAAGCGTGACTGGTTGTCCGTGCGGGGATGTGCCGGTGGGGTATGTGCTAGTGGGGTGTGGCTTGAAGGGGATGCGTGGCATGATAGTGCATGTGGTAGCAGCGGTGCAACACAATGATGTACAACGGGTTTGGATCTCACTTTTGTAGGCGCCTCAAAAACTCGACTCAATGCATGGGGAGGCATAGCATGGTATTTTGCTTATGGTGGCAGCGACACTGCTATCGTATTCTGCTTTCGACTCACGATTCTTACCTACTCCATGATTTGGCGCAGCAACTGTACGAGTAACGAGTTTGTGACCTAAAACGGGTCTCTGTTTTTTCAGCGCCTACAAGAGTTAAATTGTAGCTTCAAGTTTGCCCTCGTGCCACGCCCTACTCTGTCTTGCTAACGGACGCCCTACTCTGTCTTGCTGATGGGGCCATCGGTTTAGCAGCAGGAAGGATCTTCATGGCAGCAAGTGTCTAGTCTCATGATCTCATCTCAGACTAGGCACCTGTTGAGGAGATCGAAACGGCTTGTCGCTCCTCTCCCCTCTGCTGTTACTCCCTCCACTTGACCCACATCAGTCGCGACCTCAGAGATACTCCTCTGTCTTCCTCTCCTCACCTTCGCAGTCGAGAGCTACTTGTAGTCGGTCGGAGCTAGTTCTGACGTGTCAAAGTTTGTTGTGACGCAGCGGAGCTGTTTGTGGTGCAGCAGAGCTGGTTGTGGCGCGGCAGAGCAAGCTGTGACGGAGCGTCGAAACTAGTTGTGAAGCAGCAAAGCTATCTGTGTCGCAGAGCTACAAGTGACACAAGGACAACATTCCCTTTCCCGCACAAGGTCATCCTTCTATCGGTCGCGCATCCTCAACTTCTTCCCATATCTTCCCCTGCCTCCTCTGTCATGCCCATACACAGAGAAACCAGCTCCCAGACAGCAATCAGCTTATCATGGGCCTCAACCCGCCCTTCGGCGTGCGAGCTGCGCTTGCTTCGTCGTTTGCAAGGCGTAGCGCCGCCGTCTTTCAACCGAAGCTCATTATACTCATTGTGCCTCAAGAAACACGAAGTCTGGAGCCGCTGGGGTACACGTTGCTGTGGAAGGACGAGAGATTGTTCGAGCATCGCGCGTTCTACCTGCCAGGGTCGCATGATAGGGACAACAGGACGATGAATCAGTGGAATAAGAACGCCCCGCCCTTGTTCCTCTGGTGCCGCAACGACCTCGTCAAGCGGTAATTCGTGTAAACTCTGATCTGAGGGTTTAGGAGTGGCAAAATTGGCTCAAAGAGTTGTTTGTTACCTGGTAAGTTATTTTTTTCAGTTTAAAGAAATGGAGGGAGAGGGTTGTCGAATGTCGCACTTGCACACAGATATTGGGGAATGCTTTTCCGGGCAGGGGATGGCAGTGTGGCAGCGTGACGGGATAAGTGCGAGAGAACATTGACAGGGTGCAACTCCTCACTCCCACTCCCGCTCTCCCCCACCTTCAGCTATCGCTCCGTGCTTGACAGCTTGGGCCACTCAAGGTGCCTCTTCCCTACCCTGGTACTGTTGTGTGCATCTTTAACAACAAGCCTTCCCCCCCTCCCCCCGGCCCCCCTCCTACCCCACCTCCCCCCCCCAACCTTTCAGCTACCGCCCTTTGGCTAACATGCTGGGACACACAAGGGGCGTCTTCCCTGCTCCCCGCCCCATGCCCCCCTCGTTGCTTTCGGAGCTCAACCTCGCCACCTCCATCTCCACCACAGGTGGACCTTCTCTTTGTTCATTTCCTTCCATTTTTGTGGTATGCATCGGGCTCTGCTACTCAACTTTTCTATGCCCGCTTAGTCTCGACCCTTGTCCAATCTTGCTTCGGTCGGGATGAACCTCCCACCGCTCGTGTCAGTGCGTGTGCTGGTTTTGAGCCGACTTAAATCTAGACTTGGGCACAAGCCGAACCACATCTGGCTCGGCTTGGCTCGGCTCGCCGTTTTGGGGTGTCGAGCCTTTTTTTTTTGTGACTTTCGAGGCAAGCCGAGCCGGCGTGCCGACTCGGCTCGTACACGACATCCACGCCGAGCCTAGGGTGAGCCGGGTCGTCCTTGGCTCGATTGCAAGCCAGCCGGCTCGCGACTCGCGACCAGGGCTGTTGGTGGGGGTAAAGGTCCCAGATCGACAAAACGCTACTCCCATTTCTGGATCCCGCCGACACCACCTACTAATCCCTATATAGCTCACGCAGCCTATCGTGAGCCTTATGCCCTATTCCGTTAAATGTAAGCCCTGTGACAGAGGAAGAAGGCTTCGCGCGTTAGGCTGAATCGACGCGCCAAGCCACATGTAACGCATCAGAACACAGTTTCTTCCGCCCAGCCACCGCCCAACAAGAATTCTCTCCCTATCTGCCAGTCGAGCCGAGTCGAGCCAGCTCGCTGTCGAGCCGGTGCCGGCTCGACCACAGAATGGTGAGCCGAGCGAGGCTCGATGGCGAGGCGCCTTGGCTCGACCCCTGCACGAGCCGAGCCGAGCCAGGCTCGGCTCATGCCCACGTCTACTTTGATCCCCCTTAATGCACAGCCTGGTCATCGGCTGTTGTACAGCAGCATCCAGGAGCTGCACTGCACTCTCTTGTGATGCGCCGTCCTTGGCTTAAGATTCATGGCGGCGTCCACACGGAGGCCGCTCAACCGGTGGCGGTGCAAGTTGACGGCGTTCATGCTCTGACCTCATGCGCTGACTAAAAGCCCTCTCGTTGGTGGCACAGTTGCCGGGGATGAACAAGTAGTCCTAGGTCCTCTCTCGCAACCGTGTCAAATCCCGTTGATCGCGCTAGTAGGTGAGGCGGCAGACACGGCGCAGCTTTGGCTCCTCTAGATACCTCGCGACCTCATCGTTCGGCGCGTGCCCCGCCTCATCCGCCAATACCTCTATTTGCACAAACAGGCGCTAAGCCACGTCGTACCCAACGTCACGTCATTGCTCCAAGGCAGCTCGCTAAGTGCCCAGTCGCTCGCGCACCATGCACACCATCGTCTCCTCAATTTACTCTCACCTGTTTCTTCGTTGGGTCGGGTACCTTGACTCTTTTGCCATCGCATTGATGGGGTTGAAAGGACAAAATAGTCATTCAAATCCAACAGTGCTTCCGAGTGACCATCCCCTAGATGGATACGGATGTGCTGGGCTGGGTGTGATCCCTGTAGCAATCTCAAGTGATGATTGACATTAGAATTTGGAGGGTATACATAGGTGAGGAATAGGAAGGGGGGTTTGGTTGGGAGGTGGCCAAGATAATTGACCACTTCAATAAATTGGTTGACAAATTTATTGAGGGTCCAATATTCCTAGCCACAAATAATCGAGGGGTTGATGTTGCGGACGGTGAGGTAGCGGGTCTGATCTGAACAAGCTCACAGACGCAGTGGTGGCGGAGCTCGATGTGCTTGGAGAGGCCAAAGAACATGGGCTCCTTGGTGCGGTGGATGGTGCTCACGTTCACGTTGGATGGTGGGACAAGGTAGAGGAGCAACTAGCTCGGCAAGGAGGAAGGTATGCTACCGCCCCTCTTGTACTGCCATGGTGATGGCATAGAGCTTTGCTTCGTAGGAAGAGGGAGCGACGGAAGAGGAGCGACGAAAGAGGAGCGAGTGAGACACTAGGCGGTGAGGCTGCTACTCCCAAGAAGAGTTGCTGTAGCCGGTGAGCTGAGAGGGGGTAGGGCTGCTAAGGGAAGGACATAGCTCTTGGCTAGCGGAAGATGCGCTTGGCCACCTGCCAGTGCTTTGGGGTGTGAAGGCCTGCGCCAACAAAGCGTACTTGGACAATGACGAGCGGACCTCCACTAGGTTTTTGCAGGCGGGGCAGATTTTCAGCACATCAAAGCAGGTCTTTGGCTCGTACGTGTTGGAGTTATGTTTCGTTGTCAGTGGCGAGAAGCAGATTGTTCACATAGATGATGATTTAAAAGGGGGAGGGGAGGTGCGCAGGAAGAGGATGTGACAATCTGGGAGGAGCGAAAGTCAAGCTAAGGGTGCTGGAAAGCGTGGTGTGCCTTGCTCGAGGGGCCTGCTTGAGGTCGTAGACGGGGAGGCGGAGCTCTCAATGGTGTTCGGAGGGAAGGGGAGGTGCCAGCCCTTAGGGCGCTCCACGAAGATGCGTTCATGGAGCTCGCCATGCAGGAATGCTGTGCTGACGTCCATGGAGTGGAGAAGCATGTCGCGATGGCCGATGAAATTAAGAGATTTGCGGTTGGCGAGTAGGTGTCGAAGAAGTCATGGCTGATGGCCCAAATTCGCCCTCGATGGGTCTCGAGCTGGCTCGGCCGTAGTGAGTGATTTTCCGTGACGGGCCGGTTGTTGCGGGATGTTGCTGAACCCTACCCTAGTTCACCATATGAGTGTCAACATTCCCATCCAATGTTGCCAACTCGACCAAGGTTGGCTTGGTTGCTTTCTTCTTCCCTTAATAAAGAGTGGTCTAGCATGAGCATGGCTCCAACTCCCAAGCTGCAAGCTTGAAAGGGCGAGCCTCAGACAGGGGGTCAGGAAAGTAGCAGCCACCAACTCTTTGTTGCTTTTGAGAATTCTCAAAAAGTAGCAGCCACCAACTCTTCGTTGCTACTGTAGTATTACTTCTTCAATACTGGCCGCGTTCTCTCGATGACCTCACGTAGGATAGGGTTGTGGGGGAGGGGGCGCGAACTCATGGTAAGCGATCTCAAGCACGTCCATCATTTCATTGAATTGAAGAATTACTGCGCTGAAGGGAACACCGTACAGGATAGGATAGAAATGCCTGAAGGAACTAGCTTGGAAGAGAAAATATTGAATTGAGTAGGGAGCCAAGAGGTTTTTTTGTAGCAAGGAAGAGTTGGAAGGGAAGCTCTCCTATTGGCCATAAAGTGGACCAATGGGAGAGGTTGCTTGTAGGGCAAGCAACCACAAATTGTGGTGCTCTCCGATAGGCCACCATGTGGACCAATGAGAGAGATTGCTTGGAATGCAAGCAACCACAAAGTGTGGTGCTTGGTGATTGGTTGGTTCCTAGGACCAAGGACCATTTGGTTGGAATAGTGCCAACCAAATGTCTAGGACCAAAACCAAACTTGACCAACCCAAATGTGGGGTTGGTCAACCCAACCAACAACCCCTCAATAATTATGATGACTACACCTTCTAATCTAGGCATGCATGTTGTATAGATATATATTTTACAACACAACCCCCCAACATGCATAAGACTAGAGGGCTTGAATCAAGAGGCGGACGAGGGAACGGGGGGAGCGAGTCCAAGAAGGCGAAGGAGGGATGAGTGGGCGGCGTGGGAGAGGGCTTTGGTGAAGATGTCGGCAAGATTGACCAAATCCAATCTTGCCCAGCTGGAGGTGGCCACCCTGCACAAGCTCGCGAATGAAGTAGTGGCGAAGCTCAATGTTCTTAGAGTGCCCGTGGAAGACAGCATCCTTTGTGAGGTGGATGGTGCTGGCGTTGTCGCACCAGATGGTGGGACAGCGCTGAGGGGCACCAAGCTCCTCAAGAAAGAAGGAGAGCTAGCGGGCCTCCTGCGCAGCCATGGTAGTGGCATACAGCTCTGCTTCACAGGAGGAGAGTGCAATGGAGGAGGAGCGGGTGGAGCGCCAGCTGATGAGGCCGCTGCCAAGAGAGAAGCCATAGCCCTGAGAGGAGTGGCGGTCAGGCCTAGAGTCAGCCCAGGAGGAATCAGAGTAGCCAGTGAGGAGGGGAGGGGAGGGGCCGCCAAGGGTAAGGACGTAGTCCTTGGTCCCCCGAAGGTAGCGGAGGACACGCTTGGCCGCTTGCCATTGGGCGGCATCATGCTTGCCGGTACCAACAAAGTGGGCCAAAACGCTGATGGGGTATGCCAGGTCAGGGCGGGTGGAGACCACGGCATACATGAGAGAACCGATGAGCTCAGCGTAGGGGTGGGAGGAGGAGGAGGGGGAGGTGAGGGGAGTGAGGTGGTGCCCAACAGGAAGAGGGGTGACCTGAGGGGTGCCTCGAGCCATGTCGAACCGCTCCAGGACCTGCTGCAGGTAGTGGCCCTGGGAGAGGGAGATGGTGCGAGCAGCACGGTCACGGGTAATCTCCATGCCGAGATAGTGCTGCAGCTCCCCTAGATCCTTACACTTGAGCCGGCTGCTCACGCTTGACGCGCTCGAGCTCGGCGGAGTCGGCAGTAATGAGGATCATATCGTCGACATAGACGAGGATGTAGAAGGGGGAGGGGGAGGTGCGGAGGAAGAGGCTGGGGTCGGCGCGGGAGGTGCTGAAGCCAAGCTTGGCGAGGGTGGCAGCAAGCTTGGCATGCCACTCCCTTGGTGCCTGCTTGAGCCCATAGACCGGCCGATGCAGCTGCCAGACAGAGTCGGAAGGAAAGGGGAGGTGGAAGCCTGCAGGATGCTCCATGTAAATGAAATCGCGCAAGACCCCCTGGAGGAATGCGTTGGAGACGTCCATGGAGTGAATCTCCATGTCGAGGCGAGCGGCGAGGTCGAGGACTGCGCGAATGGTCGCAGGCTTGGGAGAGAAGGTGTCGAAAAAGTCGACAGCGAAGCGCTGGGTGAAGCCCTTGGCGACGTAGCGGGCCTTGTAGACCGGCGGCTCGCCAGGAAGCTGCTTCACCCGAAACACCCACTTCCCTTTGACCACATTCGTGGTAGAGGGAGGGCGGGGCACATCAACAAAGGAGGAGTTGGCAATAAACGCCTCCAACTCCTTGAGGATGGCCGCGAGCCAGAGGTGAGCGTCAG